TATAATAATCCAGAAAATAGTAGCATGAAGTTCACAACTCAGATGACCGGTGCATGTGTTCCACCAGAAAAAGTAATAGAAATGTGTGATGCTTTATTAGAACAAGTACCTAACGAATATACGCCAATTGCAGAATATTTTGAGATAAATTAAAAATAAATCAATATATAATATAATAAATGATACAAATATTATATACAATTATGAATATACACACATATATATATATTTATATACATATATGTATATAACTACCTGAGGTTTACCCCGTTTGCTACCGGGCCGCAATTATTAACATTCATATATATTTTTATAGATTTATTTAGTTATTCATTATTTTAAATCCGTTAGAGCGCTCCCCTATTAATTATTTCCTTTTTTTTTTATATAAAAACGAGTTTCATTTTTATTTATTTAGATTATAATTTAGAATACACATTGTTATGTATAGCGAATATTAATAAGTTAGAGCGCGCCGCTAGTAACAACCTTGTATCTTTACTTCCTGTGGAAAGGATGTATATTTTGTAATTCTCATATAAATACTGACCTTCCCGTGAACATGCTGAATATCTATGTTGAATTTCAAAAGAGAAGTTTTTAAGGTGTTCCGAGTGCAGAAAAAAGCGACTTTCATTTTTATTTGTATAGATTATTTATATATCTATATTATTCTATATGTTATATTGTATAAAAAATATACTTATAAGTTATAACATCCTAGGGTCTACACATTTTTCACTGAACTAAGAAAAGAACAAGCCGACACCAAATGCATGTTATAACGCCAACTAAATTTGGGACAAAAGGGTTGTAATATTATAGGACTAAATAGAAGAACAAATTCAACTATCATATTATTTTTCCCAAGTATGACGAATTTGATGATATAATTGCATACCTCACGGCCACTGGTCATAATTTGAAATTTTAATACTATTACAATATACTATTTTAAATTTTGTAATAATTCTGTTTTGTGTTGTTATGAACCCCTGTCGACTTTAGTTAGTAAGTAAGCATTTGTTTATGGGAACGGTTACACTATCTGAAGGAATTCGCTGAGTGGACAGTTTTGAGCCTAAGCCAGCCCCTACTGTATCTCTCCGTCTGTATAAGAATCAGAGTAGTACCGTCAAAGCATCGGGAAGAGCCTCTGTTATTTAAATCCATCCAATTCTGTTAAACTTAAGTTTCTATTGATTTAATTATTTTAGTAAAGTATAGTGATACTTAAAACCAAGCATTAATTATTATACGAGCAAATTAGTTGTGGAGACGACCATAACAGTATTATAAAAATTTATAAAAATAAATAACTTTTAGTAAATATTGCAAAAAAATTACTTTTGGAAAAAATGGTATTGTGAAAAAGAACTTTTGGGAAAAAAAATTGTGGAATATAGATTGGGAAAAGTGTCTACCTACTTAAATCAAGATGAGCTATCCGCCTGAGGTATTGAGTTACGAAGAAATTTTATTTTTTACGTGAACCAAATGAAACCAGAAATATATTGTTTTAAATAATTATAAATATATTTCAGAATCACACATACACAAATACGGATTTTGATTAATATAAATTAAGCAAAGTATAATATATCACGAATAAAACAAGCGATGTTTTCAATATTAAAATAGGTGCTTTTAGTATGTTAGTAAATTACAGTTACTACAAAACTTTTAACTTACCATACGTGCTCAGTTGGTTTTTAAAATCATAATACCGTACACATAAATTTGGATAATCTGAAATAAACACTATTGATAAATATTATATACAGACCAATCCACAAAGAATGGACTGATTTTGAATATTTATAAATTTTTATTAGTTAAACGTATTATGAAAACAAATATAGCACATGTTACTGGATACTTACCAATGTTCTATGTACCCCCCTAACCCCACCTAAAGTCAGATATTTGGTTGAATTTGGAGGGGGAGCTAAATTAACTGACATAAGATGAACCAATAAATAACATTAAAAAAAAAAATGACTTGCTGCACGAATGTCTGAGGAAGTTGTACTAACTTAGACATAGGCTATTTATTTTTTACAATTGAACATTACACCAATACATCATCTCTTTTCAACGAGGTTTTAGGTATTTCAGAGTTAAGATGGACGTGGAAAGAATCTTCACTAACCCTGTTCAATCTTCGACCGCTTCTACCAAAACTACGATCACGATACCAATACTGATGTTAAACATCAACCTTCATGTTCATAATTATTAAATCAAAGTTCTGAAAATATGGATTGACGGTATAGGAGAAAACGCTCTCAAGACTACAAAATCACAGATCGGAAATTTATAGTGCAGACATGGCAAACACGCGGCCCCTTACTTATTTTTAGCAACTAATATAGCTGATGGCAACTATATATTGAACAATTGATGGGAAAAAAAATATAATTTTCTTTTCTTGTCACAATTATGTTAGTGAGAGGTATACACTATGTTAATTTTTTGTCTTATCTTCATTCTTCATATAAACTGTAATTGAATAAGTATTGTATATAGTATTGGTTCCACGAACTATATGAGCATAGAGTGGACTGTAGCCGTGCGGTTGTGTTTGCAGAATACCTGTTGCTAGTAGGTGTTAGTCCTAGTTGAACCACGAATGAACTCACTGATTTAGTGAACCACGCTCGTATTTAGAGACATGGGGGCCAATTCTTGAAATCTTGCGACTAATTCTCGCATGCGATAAAAGTCATAAATTTTATCGAAGGTGACTAATTCTTATCGCACGCGACATAAAATCGGTATTCTTGAACAGAAATCGATAAGATTTTATCACTTGTCGCATGCGATAAAGTAATCGAATGAACCACTGTGGTAATAACAGAAAATCTAGATTCTAACCTCAAACAAATTATAGAACTTAAAAATATTAACAATTAATGGCTGCGGCTGTAAGTTGTCTAGTATCAGACTATTACTATCTCATATTCTCATTCAATTACCAATATTGTGTTTTGTGTACTGTGTAGTTACTTTTTTTTTGTACTTATTACTACTTAGTTAGTTTTGTACTTGTAGTTTGTTGTTTTTTTTTTGTAAGAACTAAGCAGAATGTCAAGATCTCGACCCTCCCAAAATCAAATGAAACTTTTGGTTGAACTCATGGCCAAAGATCCCCAATTGTGTTCCTGCAAATTTACACCATCGTTTACTCATAAAATAGCGAGAGAGAAATGGGAAAATATAACAGTGCAAGTAAATTCGTTGCCAGGAGCCCAAAAGAGTTGGGATAAATGGAAAAAAGTAAGATACTTCTTCTTATACGTGTTTGTCAATATTATGAGTAATTGTTGTAGAGTACTAGTGCCCATCTGCATAGTTAATGTATGTGTCACATAAATTGACTATATATATGGACATATCTGTATTTTTTTCTTTGTAGTCATGGCAAGATACAAGATCAGCCACCAAAACTAAAGCGGCCGCTATAAAACGTCATATATCGGGTACCGGTGGAGGTCCATCTTGTACCATTGAATTAAGTGAAATTCAAAAAGACGCATTAAGTTTAATGAGTCAAACATCTATAAGTGGCCACATACAATCATCAGAATCACTTGTTGACTTTGACTTTAATGATGATTCTACAGAAATTGTATTAATTGGTAAATTTGTAAAATGAGTAACTAAATATTCATTGAATTGAAAAATTATAGTTTTAATAATGTGCTCTGTTTAGGTGATGATGAACTATGTAACGAATCGAAGTGGATTTCGGAGTCAAGTTCTGATAACATTAATTGTATGTATTACAAATTTGGTTATTCAATGTTTACGTTTTTAGCAAATTTTTCATTAATTGTTATATTATTATAGTTTATAATGAGAATGAAAATATTCAAATGCCAACATCCATTGCTCCTAATCCAAGTAATATTCTTACACATTTATAATTCACTTTTAATAAGAAATATAAACAAATAATTGACTTGAAACTTTAAAATGTTTGTATTATAGTTTCCAATAAAAATGAAAAGATTAAAATGAAAATATCATCAGATATTGCTCCTAATACAAGTAATATTTTCACAGATTAATCATTTATATAACACATTTATATTATTATAGGTATATACTTATTACCTACCCTACCCATATTATTTAGTGAGGTACAGGGACTAAAATTGTGTATAACACAACACACATTATGTAATACAAAATGCTAAGTAATAGCCTATATAGTATATATGTTACTTTTATTTTTAATTGATTGATTCATATATTTATACATATTCATGTAAGATACACAGGGACAATTTTATTGTATAGTTATTTTAAGTTCATATTTTGACGAAATTAGATATTTAAACAACGAATACCGATTCTAGTTATTTTGTTATAATTTAAGCCTATTAAAGTAGATTATTATATTTTGTAAACACTATAACATTCTCAAATGTAATTTTTTAGGAAAAATGAATTTAACCTTCTGTATTACGATTGCCTAATAGTGAAATACATTACTTTAAACACAATAATATCATAAAGTATACTTAGTAATATAGGCTGACAGACCCACTTGCCTACTTTTTTTAATTAGTATTACCAATTGTTTTGTAACAATAAATGATTGTATAAAATGGTTGAGGTCCATATTATTATTATCATTTATTATATTTTTAAACTTTCTTAAGATCAATAAATTTAATCATTAATTTAATTTTATAGTACATTTATTCTATAAATAATAAAACTCAATGATTTCATATGATTACTAGATCTAAAAAGAAAAGCTAATGTTGCATTCGGGTTAGGGGAAAGCAATAAAGCTGCAACTCGTTTAGGAGACATCTCAGAAAGAAAGTGCAATATGAAAGAAATTTACTATGAAAAAAAACTTAAACTTTTAGAAGAACAAAATGGTATATTTAAAAACATAAATACATTACTCACTACATTTATGAATGATAGATCTCTTTAAAAAAATGTATTAGCATTAGTGTTTTAGTTTCTTTGTTATGCAGTTAAACTAAGTCAGGAAAAGGCTGTTTATTTTTATTATTATATATTTTTATTTAAAATTAACCAATTATGATTTAATGTTACAAGTATGGACAAAAAAGTGTTTTATTAATTTTTTTTATCAAAAAAAATGTATTATTATTTTATATCCTTTGTCATAAATTCCAACTAAGTCAGGAAAAGGCTGTTTATTATTATTATTATTACATAGTTTTATTTAAAATTAACCAATTGTTATAATTTAATGTTTGTTACAAGTGTGGACAAGAAAATTATTTAAACAATAAAAGTATGTTATTAAAAAATTGTATTATTATTTTAATTCCTTGATCCTTGTGATTATTCTAAAGAGAGGAAAAACAAAGATTTTCAATGAAAAGTAAAAGTATATAACATCACAATATCAATAATATTATTATACTACATCATTTCTATTAAATAAATATTGTACAACTCTATCCCTCTGTTTTCTTCCTAGTGTTAATTCTATGTTTCGATTGTTGATATTATGATTATCATCTAATACTGCATCATCTTCTATCATACCCAAATTATTAATCTCATCTTCATCCTCATGCAATGGAACATTGTTGGCGATACAAATATTGTGTAAGACTATACACGCATTAATTATCAATGATGCTTTTTCAGGCTTATAGTGCAAAGTCCTATCTTTTAGTAGACACCTAAAGAGCATAATCATATAGGTACATACTGGAATCTAAAATGAAATTAAAAGAAATGTTACCGAAATCGCATTTTTAAGACTCCGTTACATCGTTCAATAATGCTCCTGCTTGACATTTGTCTCTGGTTATAATAGATTTCGGCATTTGTTGTAGGATTAGCAATTGGCGTCAGCAGCCATTGGCGCAAAGGATATCCAGAATCTCCTAATATTTTTTGTAAAAAAAACATAAAAATACCTACCTAATTACTATAAACTAAAACTCAAATATTAAGTTACTTTATTTAGTAACTAAAGTAGTAGTTATTTTTATAAATTATTGTCAATCAGCAAGGAGAGCACGATAAAAATCTAACCTAATAAAAAAAAATCTTTGTGATTACGCCTGTGTAGTTCTTGAAGTGTTTGTAAGATTGAGCTATTATTCCAAACGTGGATATCATGCGTACTTCCAGGAAAAAGTGCATTAACATTCAAAATTTTGAGTTTTGAATCACAAATCTATAATCGAGTGTGTAAATATTTAGAAATTAAATTACAATCATTGCTACATACTTATAAAAATTTAACTATAAATTTGTTTTAAAAGATTACCAATTGAACGTTAATTGAATGATAACCTTTGCGGTTCACATAAATATACTCTGGATATTGATTTTCGTTTAGATTTAAGTTAGTTGATGGAGGTACAATTGCCACATGAGTGCAGTCAACACAACCAATAATACCTGGAAATCCAGTTTCTTTGTAAAACCTTATTTATTGAATAAATTAAAAACAATATTAACAAATTCTTTGAAAAATACATAAACTGAAAATTAAGTTATTACTCATTGCGTATTTCAGAGAGCTCACTCATATTTTTAGGAAATCTAACCCATCCTTGAAATATCTCAGGCAGATTTAGTGCTGCCACAACTTCACTTATACATCGGGATACAGTTGGTTGTGACAGCACCATAAATTTGCTGTTACCAATAGGAGATTGGTAAGAGCCCGTCGCCAAAAAATTCAAAGTAGAAAAAATCTAAATAATAAATAAATCATAAATTAGGTACAAACAATAGGTGTTCAACTTTAAAATTAACTAAAATCAAGTAAAAATAACCAAAATCACTCTTAAGTCTAATGTCTAAATGACAATATGTAGGTTATTACCTTAGTGTTCAAATCAATCGCAGACGAACGGGTGTTAGGTATTATATGAGGCCTTAATAAATCAATTAAATATCTAACAGCGTCTTTAGTCAGTCTAAAGTTTTTGATAAATAATCGATCAGACAATATAAACGGGTCAGAAATGTATTCTGTATTTCGCGTTTGTCTTTCATTAGGTACATTATTTTCATGTTCCTCAACGTTATTAATGGCAAAGAACATTGCCATTTCTTGAAAATTTGCCATTATTAATTATTATAAGTGCGGAGTGGGTAATAAAAAGTTGAATAATAAAAAAACAATTAATAACACTAACAGAATAGGAGAATACACAAATTTAATATTTATTATTTAAAGTTAAGTTGTTATAATTTTAAAATTATTAATTGATTAGGTAGAGGTATTGATATGGCATTTCATAAATTATCATGCGATATAGGCTTGTCACCGACATTTTACCAGTCGACAAATAGTCGAATGTTTTTCGTTCGACTAAAGTCATATCATATTTCAAGAATACCAATTATTTATTTTCATGCGATAAAATTGTTATCGCATGCGACAAACTATATCACGATTTCAAGAATTGGCCCCATGGTCTCGTCCAATACGTTGATGCGTGGAGCAGTCCCATAGTCGTCTGTGTTCCGCGGAGATATCACATACAAATTGGGTGCAGTTCACAGAGTAATACTCTATGATGCAGTTGACCGAAAAATGATAATATGGAAGTTTATACCGCGAATTATACCATCATATACCAATGATCCAGCAGTGACGCCAGACGTGAAATTATTTACTCGGACAAAAAAACGATAGTATCTTTCGACTTTCTATGCAAAACCCCCTCGAGTTAGTCACAGGATAACCTATCCACAGTCATCCTAATCACTCTCATCATTTTTCGAACAAATGCTTAACACTCATCACATAACGCTGTCTGGTGAAGATAATTTTTTTTTATTTTTGATAACAACAAAATGATACTGACGGTGACGATGGTTGTTTAATCGACTGCGAATAAACAGACCTTGCCTGTAGCCGCCCAGTGATATCAATATCAGTCGTTTTCAAGCCATTTCAGCCGCAGGAAGTAATACCAGAATAATTCACCCCCCCAAAAAAAAAAATTATTAAAAAAATAAATAAAAATATGTATTAGATTATAATATATGTAATAAAGTATATTATAGGTAAGTAGTATTAAACACTGTGAATATGTGATATGAAAATTAAAATGACTCACAGGCTTGGTAGAAAACGAAAGATTCCCGTTTCATTGGAACAAGCTCTAAACAATAATTTAATACTGTTAATATATAATATTATTATGACTTATTAGAAATGCAACTCCAACTTGATATTTTTCAACAACAATACGGTTCTGAACGAAATATTGTCCACAGTTTTATACTCATCCGTCATTTGAATTGTTCCGTATTATGATTTTCAATATTAAATAATCCATATAATTATATATAATTAATAGTAGGATAAAAATAGGGGTTCTGGCATCTCGTCCTCATCATTGCTTGCCTTTGCTCGTCATTCGTTATGCCGGGTCCCTCTCTCGCACATACGTGACATAATATATTTTCTTGACTCCCCCACCCACCACCTCAACCATCTCACCGCCATCACATCCCTCGTCCACCGCTACCGACGGTCGATCAGCAACGTAACCAACATATATTTTTTCGCGCCTGCATATGGGAAGACGCATGCACCCACACGTATGTGACAACACACATATTCACAGGAATACTAGTACAGGATTTTGAGTTGACAGGGAGACGATCTCCAAGCAAAATGATTGTGATATGTTTGTTGTCTCATGCGTGCGCGGCGTGCGTGCTACGTTTTTAAAATAGCAGGCGTGACAAAAAATAAAATGTAATATGTTGGTTACGTTGCTGATCGGGCGTCGGCGGCGGTGGACGAAAGATGTAGTGGTAGGGTGATGGATGTGGTGGCAGGTGCGGAAGTGAAGAACATATATGTCTCGTTCCGCGGGCTGCGGCATGACGAGTGACGAACAATTACGAGGACAAATATAAGACGAGCAACGACAAGGACGAGGTGCCAGAAGCCCCCTTTTTATTTTACTATTAATCATACATTATGGATGATTCAATGCAAATATTTAAAGAATAATAAAATTATTTAAACAAAATGTATATAACATAAGAGAATATCAGGGCACTGTTTGTTTTCTATTTCTGGCTGACTTGCAACATAGACAAAACGCATTTGGGCAAAATCATTTTTTTTATTTCTTGGAGTAATCTTAGAATAAAATCATTTAATGCAAAAATGATAATTAATAATACTTTTAAGAGTAAGACATATTGATTTGGCTAAATACATAAAGTCTCAAAACAATTTAAACGTCATATAAATTTGCAAAACATATTTTTTGCTTTGAAAGTCAAATACAAAATTAGATAATAATAAAATATAAAATCGATATGCCAACTCCTCAAAACTGTTATCCTTCATAATTATTTTCATAGGTGGTTTTAGTCTAAGATAACTCAAAAATCATATTAACGATTTTGTTGAAAGCGTCTTATCTATACTCCAATTAGGTTGATTGAACCGCTTTTGCGCAAGTAGACTGAACCGCCGCTTACTGCCTGAACCCCCAGGCGATCACTATGAATTCTGTGGTTGGTTGTGACAGTCATCGGCGGCCATCGTTGATCGTCGGCGTCAACTGCACGTAGTAGCGCCTGTTTTATGGTGGAAGATGCGCTGATCAGACGAGTTTTGGTCAGCTGAGCGGTTCAATCTTAACCTGAATAGAATACATGTTGCGTGGGTCTGAGAGAGAAAATATTGCTCCGACATTCACAACACAAATCGTACCTATCTATATTGTTCGTGAATACATTTAAATTAAAATCTTACCTTTCAATTTCATTCTATCTGAATATTCTTTATAAGTTTCAGCATATATTGGAATCACTGAAAACACGGAACAAATTTGTTATTTGTTACTTACAGGACATATGTCGAGTTGGAATAATAATAAGGTACTTGTATGCCGTGATCAAGGCCGTGAGAATTATAACAAATGTACGTCAAAAGAAAGTTATTGATATCAAATAAAACTAGTCTTTTCCGGTAATAATTTGATAAATATTAAATAGATAGGTAAGACATATGACATAATGCTTTTTTATCAATCATCATATTTAACCTTTTAGAGCTTATACTTTTTGGATACTATATAATATCATTGAAGATTGACAATTGTGAAGACTGGAATAAGGAGACCGAAATCGTACCTCCCTACACATGAAAAAACGTTTGATAATGAGTCTATCGATTTAACAGCCACCGCCTGCGCTGCGCTGCAGTCCTTAGGGTTGCTACTTTAACTCATGTAGTATAGGGATTATTAATGTATTTTACGTTTTTGCAGGCGTTTTCGCAGAGCAGCCTGTGGTCGTTTAATCATGAAACTCATTTCGGGACATTAATACATCATCATTCATCAGAAGTGATGTTCAAGATATGTTACTTGGTCAGTTATCTCATGCCTGGAACTTGGTGACCTTTGTCCACGATAAGCTAGTGGGGGTCCAACGGCGTCCCCTCCTTTCTTGCCAGTGTATGACATTGTGACAATCGGCTCTTGTCCACCGACAAATAAAAAAACCAATGCAGTCTTTATCGCAATCGTCGTGCGAGACGTCGTCGCCGTTATATTTTTTCATGCCACTTATAGAAATTAATCACTTACATTAGCCATGTAAAATAATATACACTGTGTCTAGACTCTCGGTGTTGGTGAGTGCTAATAAGGCGAATACCCTACGACCTAACTTGAAGTAGTGTTGCATACATAGAAGAATATAGAAGCCACACTCAATCAGCTGATTGAAGTCTGAACGTAGAAAACGAATCCCTACACCAACCTGATGTTCAACCATTGTTTATGATATTACGTTCTATTTCAAGTATGCCACTCCTAAAACTAGGAGTTTAACATAATTTTGAATATTTTTCATATTTAGCTCTCTTATTCATATTTTATTATACTTGTATTTTAAATGAGTTTATCACATATTATAAAATATTCAATATGAATTTTCTAGAAATTGTTAAATAAGTTTGATTAAATATTATTTGTGAATTAATCAAAAAAATGTTTGGTAAAAATTTACATTTCCATTGAAAATATAAATATTCAAGCAATACAATTGTTCATTTAAGTATAAGAGTATAAAATAGTATTAGTGAATCATAAACACAGTAAGCATTTATCATTAAAATTGTTGTTTTGTTTAAAAGCAAGCTTAAAAAAGGAGGTAAGTGGATGTCTCTCTGCTGTACAAGTGGGTCACTGTAATGGATGGTGTTAAATATGAATTCATTGATAAAAAATCATTGCATATGAAAAAAGATTCTGAGCGAAGACGCTCTATCAGCCTATAGCCTATTATCCTAGTATTACCTAGTAATTTAGTATATATTTTGATGATGTTTTTGAGATTAAAGTAATTTATTTTACTATCAAGTATTAGTATTACAGTAGGTTAAATTCATTTTCGCCAAAAAAATTACATTTGAAAAGTCAGTGTGTGTATAAAAAATAATAACATACTCTAAAAGTTTCAAGTAGGTACCCACGAATAATATTTTAATGATGTGTTATTTCGTCCATATTTGAACATAAAATAATTATACAAAAACTGTGATTTATTTTTCAGATTTTTTGGTTACAGAATTAACTACTTGTCTGCAGTTTTGTTTGAAATTGTTGATCCTTAGCTACAAAGTTAGTTGAACATCTTATAAACATTTAACTGCAAAATTATTTGTAAATTTGATACATTTTGTCAACATTTGAACTTTAATTTCTTATACAACAAATCTTGCTGATGTATTTTTAATATTTTTCCACTGATATTGTAACAATGTATCATTAAACTTGTATTACATTTTAAAACTTTTAAGCCTCCTCAAAAAAAATCCATAGACAGCTCAAAATAGGTACTGTCTAAATACTTTGAAAATGGTATCCATTTTATTGATAAAATAAATATATGGCGTAAATTTCAAGTATCTACAGTTATTCGTTTTTGAATTAAAACAAAACAAGAAAATCGCTATATGAGAAATTTAGTGAATATCCAATGTTGTAAAAATGTCAACTTCAAATGATTATTAGTCATAATCATAAAAGTTCAATTTGACTTTTTGGTGGAAATTTTTTTTTAGTTTAAGGTAGACAATTG